TCCATCCAAATCCTCATGGGATTAAAAGAAAAATTTGAAATCCACCACGGCGTTGAAATTACAGACGATGCGATTGTCGCCGCGGTGTATTACTCTGATCAGTACATCAGCGACCGCAACCTGCCCGACAAAGCGATTGACGTTCTGGATGAAGCCGCCGCCGGACTGAAATTAAGTGCTGACTCGATGCCACCGGAAATGCAGGAACATGAATCACTGATGAAAAGTAAAAAAGTAATGTTAGGCTCAAACCCTGACAATACTGCACTCCGTGAAGAAATCAAAGAACTCGAGGAAGAGTTCATGAATATGAAAATCACGTGGGATAAGAACACAATGGAGCTGCGTCCGCGCATCCAAACTCAAAAAACAGTTGGATGATGCCCGTTTTAAGCTGGAGAAAGCGATGAACGAAGGCAATTTTAACGAAGCCGGCATGCTTAAAAATGCCACCATCCCCAAGATAGAAGCGGAGATCGCCTCGCTGAATGTATCGTGGAAAGTATCCAAAAAGCACATCGCAGAAGTCATCCAGCGCTCGACCGGCGTGCCGGTGGAAAAAATTATGAAAAGCAATCAGGAAAATATCATTGAACTGGAAAAATATCTGCGCTCGCGTATCTACGGACAGAATGAGGCTTTACGTCAAATTTCTGATACGCTGATTGCCGCACACGCCGGACTGGTGAATACCTCCCGCCCGATTGGCAGCTTCTTACTGCTCGGACCGAGCGGAGTCGGAAAAACGGAAACGGCAAAAGCGGTCACCTCTTTCCTGTTTAACAGTGAAAAACACATGTTCCGTATTGATTTGAGTGAATACAGCGAACCGCATTCAGTTGCCAAACTTATCGGCGCACCGCCGGGATACGTGGGATATGAAAGAGGCGGTATTCTGACCGAAGCCGTGCGCCGAAATCCTTATACCGTCCTGCTGTTTGACGAGATAGAAAAAGCACACATCAATTTCAGCGATATTCTGCTCCAGATTTTAGATGACGGACGACTTACAGACACACAGGGTCGCGAGGTCAGTTTTAAGAATACGATTATTTTTATGACCTCTAACCTAAAAAACTATGAAACTTACCTGAAGCCGGAACTCATCGGACGCATTGACGCTGTCCTGCATTACAAACCGCTGGGTGAAGATACTGTCGGTATGCTGATCGAAAAAGAGCTGGAACAGCTCAACAAAAATTTAGCAGACCGTGAAATCAAAATTGCGCTGGATGACAGTATCCGCAACAAAATCCGTGCCTCCGGCTACGATGAACGCTACGGTGCACGCCCGCTGAAAAACAGCTTTAGCCGCAGCGTAATCATGCCGCTGTCAAAATATATCGTCACCCATGCAGACATCAAAGGCAGTTACCTGCTGTTAAATGATGAGGCCGGCACGGTCAAACTGCGCAAAACCGACTAGTGTTTTTCATATGCGTTAAATAATGTATATCTAAAACTAACCTCGGTGAATACGTTGTTGCTATTAATTAAAAATTAAGCCTAAAATGCTAATTATTCATAAATACATCATTATTATCCGGTAATTTTATCAGAAAATATAAGCTTGTCCGAAACAACGTATGGCAATTATTGATTTAGTAAAATGGGACGGAAGCCCAAGTTTATTAGCCTGGAAGTTTCCTTCTGATGAATTATCAACGTGGTCTCAATTAATTGTTAATGAGACACAGGAAGCTTATGTAGTGAGAGGCGGGGTTTATGACGGTCCGTTTTTGGGCGGGCGTCATACTCTGACAACGGAAAATATTCCTTTGATTACAGAACTGTTGGGGTTGCCGTTTGGCGGCAACTCACCGTTTTCAGCAGAAGTATGGTTCGTCAATAAAATTACAAATCTTGATATTAAATGGGGGACTCCCGATGCTATTCAACTCCAGGATCCTAAATATAACATTATGCTTCCTGTCCGGGCATTTGGACAATACGGAGTACGCGTCACAGATTCTAAGAAATTTTTACTAAAGCTTGTCGGAACATTAGCCGGTTTTGATGTAAATACCCTAAGTGTCTATTTCAAAGGGGTATTTACAACAAAAATTAAGACTGAAATAGCTAACAGTATTATTAAAGTTGGGACTTCTGTTTTAGAAATATCTACAGAACTTGAAGAATTGTCTTTAATGTTAGGAGATGCTTTAGCTAAAGAAATAGCAGAATATGGAATAAGTCTCTCTCAGTTTAATATTCATTCGATTAACGTTCCGGAAGACGATCCTACAGTAATTAGCTTAAAAGCAGCTTTAGCCAAACGGGCGGAAATGGGAATTGTGGGATTTACTTATCAGCAGGAGCGCAGTTTCGATGTTTTGGAGACAGCCGCAGGTAATGAAGGAACCGCAGGAGGTGTAATGGGGGCCGGAATGGGTTTAGGAATGGGGGTTGGTGTTGGTAACCCGATTGGTCAGGCGATGGGGCAAATGGTAACGCCTAATAATATTCCGATTATAAATACCCAAAGCCCTGTAAATCAATCTCCCCACTCCACTGTGAGTCAGGCTGAAAAATTACAGATGCTGAAAGATATAGCAGAATTAAAAAAACAGGGAATTCTCACAGAAGAAGAATTTCAATCTGAAAAACAAAAAATTCTCTCCAATTAAGGTCTGTATGCGTGGATTTTGGCCGGTAAGGCTTGTACCTGTTTTAATTTTTGTTATTACATTTTCAGTATTAGCTATTCTTAACCTGTCAAGATTAGGAAGTGATTTGGTTTTTACAGTCACTTTGGGAATTTTTTCATTGTCAGTGGCGAATATTTTTTACATTCCCACAATAACTAAAGCGAAGGAGAACGATGATACTGCCCGAATGGGAGTTATTGGGGTAATTTTTTTCTTTGCTGTTGCATTTATAGTGATTGCCGGTATTTCACTTTATCTGGCAATAATAAAGAATTATAATTCAGCAATTGCTTTAGATGTCTTGGCAATTGGTATATTTATTTTGGGACTTACGGTTTCAAAAATTGTTGCCAATTTATTGAATTATGTTTCCGGAAAAACTAACTACCGCAGTGTCCAGTCAGATTGGGGAGCTGATATGTTAAGAATCGCAAATATCTGTGTTGATCAGACACTCAAAACCAGTCTGTTAAAAATGAGCGATGATATGAGATATATTTCACGTGATTACTCGCCGGAGCCAAACGCAATAAATCAAAAAATTTCAGATAACATAACCTCATTAGAGGCACTTATTAACCAGGAAAATTTTAATGCGGCCGAAGTAATAATAAACCAGTTGCACCAAGATATTGCCAGTAGAGAATCAAACCTGAAAAAATTAAGAAGTAAAGTCTAGGAAATAAATTATGACCGAACAATGGAAAACTGCGTGTTCACGATGCGGTGCTCCGCTAGATGCCGCCGGACAACAGTCCCTGAAGTGTGATTTTTGCGGCGAAACTACAGATATCCTCAAGGAAGAAACTGAGCTGCCCGTAATTGATGAGATTAAATCAATTGTTCCGTTTACTGTTGATAAAAACTCTTTGGTAAGTGTTACGCAAAATTACATGATAAGCGGTGCTTTAACACCGGATGATTTGCTTGAGAATTCAGTTATTACAAAACAATCACTGTATTATGTGCCGACATATTTGTTTTCCGGCAATTATGAGGCTAATTGGACAGCATCATTTGGGTATTACAGGAAAGAACAAGATAACGATAACAAAACAAAAATAGTAACTGATTGGAGACAGGTAAGCGGTATTGACAATGGCAATTTTCAGGTTCCGGTATATGCCGGCAGTATGTTGCCTGGTAATGTGAGTGAGTTAATTCAGGCAGACGATCTAAATAAAAAACTAACTCCCTTTAAACAGGAATTTTTGATTGGATGTGATGTTGAATTATTTTCAATAAAAGAAAAAGATGCTTACGACAATCATGCAAAACCAATATTAGATAAAATTATTGACGCCGGCGTTAAGGAACACAAACAAGGGTACATACAACAAAACTGGCAATGGACCGTTAAATTTGATAAAGAAATTACGGATACTGTTCTAATGCCGATTGCGCACAGTATTTTCGAGTATAAAGGTAAGGAATATCATGTTTGGGTTGACGGGTCTGGCTCATCAAAAATAATAGCTGATGAACCGCCTAAGGATAATTCCAGACAGAACGCCTTTGCTCTTGGATATATTCCGATTTTAATATCACTTATCGGTTTATTACTCGCATATGTCTTTTTTGGCAGCAGTGCATTTACTTGGAAAGCTGTTTTAAGTTCATTATCCTTTTCAGTTTTATACGTCTTAAAAAGGGATACAGATATAATAAATTATTCCAAAACAATCAAAAATTATCTCTTGTTGCAAAAACAGTCCGCTTCAGTTAATACGCAGGGTATGTCCGATGAAGATAAAGCGAAATTGGTGAACAGTTATACAAAACCCAAAATACCGTTCTTTGCTGATTTAAGAAAAGATATAATTTTATTGCCTCTGGTATCTGTTATATCTACTTTAATTATGCTGATACCGATTTTAATTATACTGGCCGACCTCTAAATAAAAATTTATTATTCATATAAATGACTGTTGAACAATCACAGCCTGATATGATAATTATCAGTTTATCCCCTCTTATCCTTTATCCTAGAGTATTGACCAACCGGTGATACTCCGGAACCTCAATTATAATAAAAATTAAACGGGATCTTTGGCTATATAAGATCAAACGGAACTTTATTACAAAGCATCCGTGATTATTAAAGATTCAAAAACATTAATCCCGGAGTGCAGATTGGGGTAATTTTAATTTTTGGTTGCGGGGGTAGGATTTGAACCTACGACCTTCGGGTTATGAGCCCGACGAGCTGCCAGACTGCTCCACCCCGCGGCGTATAAAAGAAAAGAAATCAGATTTGGAGCGGGAAACGAGGCTCGAACTCGCGACCCTCAGCTTGGAAGGCTGATGCTCTACCACTGAGCTACTCCCGCATATAATTATATCATGTGCTGGCTGGTCTGCTAGGATTCGAACCTGGGATGGCGGGACCAAAACCCGCTGCCTTACCGCTTGGCTACAGACCAGTGTAATCACGTGATAAGAGTGTTATCATTACATAAACGGATAACCCGTGTCAAGCAGTTATTACAAAAAATTCCGCATTTATACCTGAAAATTTCAGCCAGTGCGTTTGGATTAGGCAATCGTAACGGATTTCTCCAGATAAACATCCTGAATAGCGTTCAGAATCCTGATGCCTTCTTTCATATCTTTCTGGAATGCCTTACGCCCGGAAATAAGTCCCATTCCGCCTGCGCGCTTGTTGATGACTGCTGTGCGGACGGCTTCTTCCAGATCGTTGGCACCTGAGCCGCCGCCGGAGTTAATCAGCCCCATGCGCCCCATATAACAGTTGATCACCTGATAACGCGTCAGATCAATCGGGTGATCGGTGCAGAGGTCGCTGTACATGCGCTCATCCAGTTTGCCGTAGCTGCTTTCCTGATTCAGGACTTTGAAGCCTCCGTTGTTTTCCGGCTGTTTCTGCTTGATAATATCCGCTTCAATCGTGACACCCAAATGATTCGCCTGTCCCGTCAGATCCGCAGCAACGTGGTAATCTTTGTCTTTTTTGAAGGCAGGATTACGCAGATAACACCAGAGGATTGTCACCAATCCAAGTTCGTGCGCCAGTCTGAATGCTTGGGATACTTCCTGTATTTGCCGCGAAGCCTCATCCGAACCAAAGTATATCGTTGCACCGATTCCCACGGCGCCCATATCAAATGCCTGACGAACATCCGCAAACATGATCTGGTCAAACTTGTTGGGGTAGGTCAACAGTTCGTTGTGGTTGATTTTGACAATAAACGGGATTTTATGTGCATATTTGCGTGACACTGCTCCCAGCACACCCAGAGTGGAGGCTACAGCGTTACAGCCGCCTTCAATCGCCAGTTTAACGATATTTTCCGGGTCAAAATAAATCGGATTTTTAGCAAACGACGCACCGCCCGAATGTTCAATTCCCTGATCAATCGGAAGGATAGACAGGTAGCCGGTTTTTGCCAGACGCCCGGTATCGTAAATCAGCTGCATATTACGCATGACGTTTGCGTTGCGATTGGTATGGGAAAACACGCGGCTGACAAAATCTTCACCCGGCAGGTGCAGATGTGCAGCGGATACTTTTGCTTTGTGAGACAGTAAACTCTCTGCTTCAGACTTAAGCAGGGACTGGATTTGAGAGTAATTTAACATAAGGAGGCAAGGCTGTTAAAAGTTTATCAGGGTGTTGGTGAAGTTATAAAACATATCCAGTTTAGCTAAAATACACCGGTCAGGAAACAGTTTATCGCATAAATTATTTCAGACAAAGCACAGTGAGGTCGTTTGGCGCGATAACCGGTGCACCGACAATAACGTCTTTATCTTTTAGTTGCTGCGCTTCTATATGGTACGCCGCTTCCGAAAGATTAAAATAAAAATACAGGTTGTGCAGCCGGCGCACACGTACACCGGCAGGCAATTGTTTCAGCGGCTGTCCCAATTGCACGCTCAATTCCGGCAGTCCTGCAATATATTCAGTCAAAAAATCCGCCTCCGGAAAAAACGCGCAATAGGTAAAATTTCCGTTTTCGACTGTCGCCGGCTCACCATCCGCATACCATGCAACCGGGCGGTCTCCCGTTGTCAGGCTTTCTTTCCAGTAAGAAAATACGTATGAATTGCCGCCTTTTTGCGGATACACATTCTCACGGTAAGATGCAGGCAGACTTTCCACATAGCGGATTCTGAAATTAAATAACCGGCTGAAGAGATTGAGACCGGATGCCTCCGGAAGCTGAAAATCAGTTGTTTTGCTGAATGTACGCGGGCCTATCATCACACGTGATTTCAAACTCTGTATTTTTTTACAGAAAACCTCATCTTCAAAGGGCATACAGGGAATAACGACCAGCGGATAAGCTGATAAATCAGCCGTCTTGGGAACAATATCCACGCTCAAACCCAGTTCACGCATGGCACGGTAAAAATTCATAAACAGGCGCAGCGGCTTAAAGTCGGAACCCTGCGGCTGAATTTCCAAATGCCAGAAATTTTCATAATCAAATACAAGTGCCGCCTGCTTATATTCCGTGTGCTGAAGAAAACGGTTCACTTCCTTTATTTCATTTTCTGTGCGGCGGACCTCATCCGCATATTCTGTAAACTCACCGTCCGGTGCATTTAATCCGGCGTGCATCTGCTCCTGTGCAAAGTGACAGCGGCGCCAGCGAAAATAGCTGACCGTTTCCGCGCCGTGCGCGAAATTCTGCCACGTCCACAACCGGACAATTCCCTTTGCCGGAGCGGGATTATACGGAGCCCAGTTCACCGGACCCGGCTGTTGTTCTATCACCCAAAACTTTTTCTGCGCGGACTGCCCGCGAAACAAATCATGCATAAACGGTGATAAATCCGGGTGCCCGGTGCGCAGATAAATCTGCTTCTCATCCGCATCAAAGCAGTCAGAAACACTCAAAAACCCAAGCGGGTAATTATCCCACGATATAAAATCCAAATCTTCGGCAAACGGGTAATGATCGTAATCAAAAAACATTCCCATCGAGTTATGTGTAATGAAGCGTCCGGGCGATAATCGGCGGATAATTTCCGTTTGTGTGCGGTTAAAGCGGATCACCTGATCAGAAGAAAATCGGCGGAAATCCATTACCTGTGAAGGATTCGGCTCGGTAACATTGAGATTTGGGCATTCAATTTGCTCAAAATCACTGTATTCCATACTCCAGAAAATATTACCCCACGCCGTATTCAGTTTTTGTATACTTCCGTACTTCTTTTCAGCCACTTAACAAACCCACGGCGGGCATTTTCCGAGTAACACAGAACTGTATCATGGCAGCCGTACTCGTTATCGGTCTGCCAGCCGCTGACATATTTATTTTGACCGTACCGCGCGGCAATAATCTCCGTAATTCGCGCTGATTCTGCGTTATATGCGTCCGAACTAAAACTGTAATGCCGTCTGGAGCCAAATTTCCGCACCCGCCCCTGTTTGTCAACGGCTAACATATCAGGATTTTCTGCAATCAGCCATGCCGGGGCGTTGCAGTTGGTGTACACATCACCACCTTCAAATCATGCGTCCCGAGTATATCAATCACTTCATCCAGCCAGTTAAAGTCAAATACCCCGCGAGCCGGCTCGAGTTTAGACCACGCAAATTCCGCGATGCGGACGTATTCAATTCCTAATTCTGCCATTCGTGCCGCATCGACCTTCCACCGGGCGGGCTTCCCAATGCTCGGGATAATAGCATACACCTAACGTTATCATAGTATAAATGAGAGGGTTGGAAATTGTGAGAGGCAACCCGGAGGGAGAGACTTTGTAAAATCCCCGCAGACTGCCTCAAAACACAGTCTGCATTGATACTAATCTGTTTTAGGGGTTATGACAAGATACCGCCGCATTTTACTGCGGTAAGGGAAATAAACGCCTGAATATATAGATTATATGAGCAAGACGTTTATCGGAAAAATTATCAGCGGTGGGACTGATAGGGATATGACTGCCCGTTTTTCTTGACCGCAATCACATCATACGGGTCCTTACGGAAGCCCTGTTCCATTCCCGGTGAACCGGTCGGCATTCCGGGTACCGCCAGACCTTTTATTTCAGCGGATTTTGACTTTATCAGCCGGATGACATCTTCCGCCGGGACGTGTCCTTCCACAAAATAACCGTTGACTGCTGCGGTATGGCAGGACGCCATTTCACGCGGAACTCCGAGACTCTCCTTATATTGCTGAACATTAGATACATTCTGTTCTTTGACAACAAAACCGTTTTGCCGCATATGCTCTACCCATTTTTTACAGCACCCGCAGTTTGGGTCTTTATAGACAATCATTTCATTATTGCCTTTATCTTCAGATTTATCTTTATCTGCGGATTTATGATTGGCGGCATGCAGAACAGGCATGATAACCGCGCCGGCAATCAACAGGAGAAGAGTCTTAAAGGATATATAACGGAATTTTTTTTTCATAATCGTTAGAAGTTAAAGTTTTCAAGTTTTCAGAGAAACACAGGGTTAACGTTTTACCGTACGAAAAGTAATGACACGATCTTTGCCATTGATGTCCTGATAGGTGCCGATGAGTTCCCAATGCGGGTCAACGGCAAAAATCTGCATGACAGCATTTTTCTGTTGCCAGCCGTATTCCATAATCAGATAACCGCCCGGCGTTATCATAGTGTACAGACGTTCAGCGAATAAACGGTAGAAATCCAGTCCGTACTGCCCTCCGTAAAAGGCAGCACGGGGTTCATACTGTTGTGATTCGCGGGGCAGTTCGTTCATTTCGTCTGCGGAAACATAGGGAGGGTTGGACATGATAATATCAAACGGTTCTGTCGGAGTGTATACACGAATATCAGCCTGTATTAATTCGGTGCTGACGTGGTTCTCGGTAAATTTTTCCTGATAATCCGTAAAATTAAAATCGCTATTTTAACGGCCTCTGCGGATATATCAAGCCCAAACAGGTACAGATGCTGATTTTCTGTACCAAGTGTACAAAGGAGTGCGCCGCTTCCGCAACCGATTTCCAGCAGGCGCAATTTTTCTTGGACATTCTTACCGGTTTCGGTGCGATACCGGGTAATACTTTCCTCTGTACGCATAACCAATTCTTCACTGTCCGGGCGGGGTATCAGCACATCCGCCAGTATACGGAATCGCCTGCTGTGAAAATATGTGTAACCGAGTATATAGGCAGAAGGCTCACCGAAAGCGCGACGGCGGACATAGCTGCGTAATTTTTCCTTTTCTTCGGGACTGAACGGACGATCGTACCACAAATAAAGCCCAAGCCGGTCGGTATTCAGGACATCCGCAACGAGCTGTTCCGCTTCATAGCGGAGGTTACCCGTAATACCTTTCTGCGCCAGATACGCCGCTGTTTTCTTCACTGCCTGCGGCGGTGTCAGAACTTCATCATCATTCTGCAAAGCAATTTATAATAAAAGGCTGCTGTAATAAAGTCTGCATATCTGCACTGAACATCGGTCTGCT